AGAATCAGTGCCAACTGCACTAATTTTTGCCCTGTTTTACATCCCATCATTGATGATGTGTAAGTGTTGACAGTTGGGGGGCACAACTCCAGGCTGCCGCTGGCCCCACTGCTGCTAGGCACTGGCTGCAGCCTCGCACCCTGTGGAGCCAATGCAGAACCACTGCTGCTGGGCCCTGGTTGGACTGCAGCTCTGTGCCCCACCATCAGCTCAGATATCTGGGGGGGGAGGCACTCCCCTGTTCCCCCTCCCTCTGACATGTTGCCAATGCATCCCATCCAGCCCCAATGAAGCCAATTTGATGCGAGAAGGAGGAGGTGCATTAGGTAAGAATTTGCCTGTGTGAGAGAGAATTTTTTTCCAGAATGAGGTTGTTTCTCTAGATCCTTTAGAAAACCAAACCAAAGCAAACCAAAAAATAAAAAATAAAATAAAAAGGAGCCCCTCTCAAATCATTAAAACAAAACAGAACAATTAACTTAAGAGGGTAATAAAAAGTGTATGAAGTTTTAATATTATAAGTCAGGCACCAAGGTAAGACTTTTTGTACCTCTAAATGTTCCTGGAGCAGCTTGGAACAAGAGCCTATATGTTTTGAGTAGGAAAATTAAATACTGTTTGACATTTCTTTTCCGAATGGCTTCATCCTCAGTACTAGTATTGTGCTTGACTGCCGTATGGAACAGATGCTATTATTACTGCACTGCAGAGGCACCTCAGAGATTAACAGTTTTCACATGCAGGTATTTATTTTGCATTATATAATTCATGTTTTTAGCATGCACTAAATTTTTATTAGAATTTGGCCACTGAGAATTCCTGTTTTTTGAGCTGTTTCTTTACCACTTCATGTAGCTATGGTATATTAATATGGTTATAAAATCTCTGCTCAGGAATGATGTGTATGTATAAGGCTAGTGGGATCCCTCTGTCAAAAAAACCCCTCAAAAACAAACAACCCCCCCAAACTAATAAGTCCCAAAGCTCTTGGCTGGTTTCCAATGTATAAACTAATTTGAATGGGTCTGCGATTTTAGGACTAAGGGTAGAAATACCAAGCTGGGATGCATTCAGAGTGATAATGATGCTCAGAGAAGATAAGCAGCAGAAAGTAGAACATACTTCATTAGGTACATACTGCTAAAATAAGGTTAAAATATAATATTCACCATGATATATTTGACGTGGGTTAGAAAAAAAACATGATTAAATCATACTTCAAACATCTGTCTGGATATCTCTGAAAGCTTCATTTCTTTATGCTAACTATAGTTTTAAAATGTCAGACTAGAAATACATGACATTTTAAAAGGGCTGATTGCCAGGATTCTTCAAATCCATTCATTTGCATATGAAGCACAATGTCAAATATTATGGAAAACTAGAATAGAGAAGGGATGCTTTATAACCCCCTTGTTTAACACAAATTAGAGAGTATGTCATTTGGAAAGCATACACTATAACTTTAGATGGGTTAAAGAAATTCATGGAGCCTTCCAGATTATACCAGTAGCTGGTCTTGTCTACCATTTATTTAATAAGTGGCCTGCACTTTGGCTGTTTCTTCATTAAACTGCAGTGTATGTTAAAACAGCATGACAGGCATTAGCATACACTTGAGTAAGTAGGAGCCAAATTCACCTCTTAGTAGTTCTGTTGCAACTCCATTAAAGCCAGTGGGGTCTTTCCTGCATCAATAAATCAGTGATTTTAGGCTGTCTTAAAAGCAGTGTCTTGTTCCCAGTGAAGTCAATTATAGAACTCCCACTGGCTTCAGGGAGAGAAGGATCAAACTTATGGACCTGGTTCCTCCAAGCATGTACATACACACTAAACTTCATACATGAGTCATTCCAGTGACTTTAAAGTTAAGCGTCTGCATAAGTCTTTTGCAGCATCTAGGTTCACATCAGGGAAAGAGCTTTTCTGTTGAAATGAGGCCTTCTATAACAGAATATAAATGAGAAAAAGGTTTAGTGAGAATGGGGGAGGGTGGCGGGAGTGGGGGGTCCTTACAGGAGGTTTTATCACTTAATGTTCTAGCTGAAGACAGTTTGACATATCCTAAAGTAATTGTTTATAATTCCTACATAGCACAGCTACTAGGACAACTGATTCCTGGGCGACATCCATTGAAATGGAGATGGCAAATTTGATTTTTCATGAAAAAGAAATGAGGAATGCCACAACAAAGTAAATGTGGGTCACAATGTACTGTGCATTATAACAACTTGCCACGGAAATGTGTCCGATGCACAAAACTCTCAAGCATCTCAGAGTTTGGGAGTATGTAGATCCAGGCATTGGTTCATTCCATGATGAAGACATTTACATTACCTGGATCTCAGTTTGGGTTTGGAAACTTCCCATCTCCCATCAACTTTCTGGGATCATTCAGATCTAGATGCTGAGTCAGGCCTGTGTTCATTTTACAAAAGAAAGGGGAGAAAAGAGGGTCTAAGGGAGGGGAAGACTCTGAAGAGCACTAGTGTCTAGAAGGTGGTTAGTAGGGGTGCACGAAAGAGACCCTATTTGATTTGGATTTGGCCCAAATTGGGGACAGTGATTTGATTACTTGATTCAGATCACTGCTCCCGATTCAATTCGGCTGAATCTGAAGATTCGATGCTGATTCGGAGAATCAACCATTCCGACATAGACACAGCTTTAAATGTTTTTTCTACATACCTTGAGGTACCTGGTGCAGCTCATGAACACTGATACTGGGGCAGATGGAGCATCCCACAGTACTTCCAATTCACTTCTGGGTCCGCCAGGAAGTGCGGGGGGGCCTCCCCCCTGCGCTTCCCTGGCCTGGCGATTGGCCGTGGGGAGACCATGGGTGCCCCCTCCCAGACCCAGGAGGCACCAGTTGCCAAGGCAGACGGCTGTGAGGGGGCCCCCAGCATGCTCCCCAGTGGACTCAGAAGTGGACTGGAAGGGCTTCTGGTTCATTTCTCGGTCTGCTGCCGAGTGCGCTGGGGAGCCCCTTGTGCTCCTGTGGGATGTTCCATCTGCCCCAGCATCGCAGCATTCACGAGCCTCCTGTTACTTAGAGGTATGTAGAAAAAACATTTAAAGCTGTGTCTATGTCCGAATCGCTGAATCTTTCCAAATCTCTCTGAATTGATTCGTGGGGTTCTGATTTGATTTGGGGAGATTAAAAGGTCTCTTGATTCGATTTGGATCCAGAGATTCAGCCACCAAATCAGAACAAATCTCTGTCAAATCGAATCAGGGACTGAAGCTTCACACAGCCCTAGTGGTTAGCACCAGTTGGGAGAAACAGCTACAATTCGGTCATTGATGTTTAAAGTCAAGCAGGCAGGAAGAGGGCAAAAAGGTGCTGATATCGGTGAGGTATATGTACTCTTTAACTATAGGGAGCAGATGAAATCATACAATTGAAAGCTAGAGAAATGTACCAACAACTGGAATCAATACTGGGATATTCACCAAGAGGGAAACAGCATGAAGCTGCGAATTAGCGAACACATACTCGGTCAAGGGGATGGGCAAGGAAAGACTGAAATTCCAGACTACTACAGATGCCAGGGTTATGATTTCATGCTGAAGAGTTTCACGCTATTTACTTGGTCCTTCTAGAAAGGAAAACTTATGGTTTCCAAGGTGTTTCCTGTGTCAGGAGGAAGAAAGACTGGTAGCCCACTTGACAAAGGTGGCAGTGCACATGCACCTCAGACAGAAATACAAGTGTTCTTGGGAATGGAGACTTCCTTTGTGCTGCTCTTTCTATTTATAGGCCATCCATGGAAGAGCCCAGGAGAAAAAAAGATGCAGGACTTGCAACCCATTTTCTCCTACCAAATGAATCTGAGTCAAACCATAGGCAACTGCAAGCTACAGTGCCCCATTTCTTGTGCTCCTGACACACGAAGACGTCAAAACCTAGGACCAAATTCTGCCTTCTCCTGTATTTTTGTAGCCCATTCAGGATTCTACTGTGGCCCCTAGCTATACCCTTTATGAAATTCCTTCTGTGCTGACTTAACCCATTGGCGAGAGCATGTCACATGTCCATCTTTATGTCAATCCTTAGAGGAGAGGAAGTGCTAGTGCTCCAAGCTATGGTAGCCACATAGGGTTTCTGCCTTAGAGGTCCCTGATTTAGCCCCTTGTGTGTTGGGCAAAGACAGCAGCTCTCATACAGGCAGACCTGTTTATATCCATACATACAATCTATCCAAGTGACTGTGCTGGCCAGCCACAGTATAGAGTCATTTGAACCAAGTATGGTGAGATGTGCCCTAGAAGGTGTTACCAGGGAGCAGTTCTTGCACTCAAGCACTTACGGACAAAGATTGTAACTGGGCTGTGAACAGAGAGCATGAGAAATAGAGGTTTCTTACCTCCTTGCATCCATTACAATCTGGTCCTCAGGACATCTGCAAGGGCAGCACATAGCTCCTAATATTTACATAACTATAATTGGTTAATAAAGCATTTTTCTTAAATTATATGTTGCACATAATAGGCTCATTTGGCAGTCAGACTGCCAGTCAGAGACAACAGATAGTTATTCCTTCAGTACATCCTAGCTGGTGTCAGTGCTGTGATATTTGCAGACCTGAAGCTGACTAGGTCCTGTCAATTTTAGGGCTGCTATTAAAGGCAAAGAGGCCTTTGAGTTAACAAGGGAACAAGCTTTAGTGAGATGTAAACAGCTGAGAACTGGCCCTTCCCACTCAACTTGGTGGATAGGTTTAGATTGGCTTAAGTGTTATCTTTAACATTGAAATCAATGAGTTTTGGCAATAAGTTTTGTAGAATTGGCCCAATTCAAATATCTGTCAACAACACCCACAGGCATCTTAAGTAGACATCATTTTGCTAAACACTTCACACAAAAATATTTCTGAATTGATTCCTCCTAAAAAAATCCAACCTCTGTTCTCCAGCCTTTTCCCACCACATATATTCCTTTAAGAACAATAGGAGTTCTTTGCATACATCTCTACAAAAAGAAATAATTCCAGAACTCATTTCTGTATAAGAATATATTATTTAGAAGATACATTTAAAAATAAAAATTCTGTACATCTCCAGAAGTTCATTGTTTTGCATCCATGAGGATAAAAATATGCTCTTGTGGTGGCCTCAGTTTTTCTGTCATCGTTGCCATATACTGATGTTCCATGATGCTTAGCTGCACAGTTCTGGCACAGAAAGGAAAATTCAGATCAATTAAATTAGGTTCTAAATCTAAAGTAAACACCATAAAATTCAGAGGATGATATAGATACATATAATGGTTGGTTCTAATCTCTGGAACATCATTAGGCAAACAAAGATTTTGTTGCCATAGCCACTGCCCCTCTTCTTTTAGGAGACAAGGACTTGTTAGAGTAAGCTATAGTGCTCAGATTGCCATCTGCACACATGTACTGCATTAATATGAATGACAGGGTTTGGTCTTCTGTGAATGTTTTTCCCAAAAAGGATGATTAATCAAACTTCATCTTGCTCCTAAGGATCTTGAGTCTTATTTTCCTTGGGCACAAGGAGAAGTTGGTCTGCTGAAGTCAATGGAGTTGCAACCCATTATGTACATGGTATATTTGATGGATTGTGTCTTCTTTTTAAATAGTGTTTTAAAACCAAAATCACCTTGTGACATATATTGTGCTCAGAATACTTTTCCTTTCACTTCTCTGTGCTTCCAGCTGTCATACTTCCACTCTTCTTCTTCTGCATCTAAAATACAGAGAAAGGCAGAATAAACATCACTGGGTACATCTATATATGCAATTAACGCAATGTGATAAACTCCAGAGTTGTTTGAGATGCAGTATACACTGCTCCCAGGCACAGTGTCTACAGCTGCACCTGGGACACCACCAATTTGAGCCAGGGCAGAGCAGGCCCAGGCTGGGTGTGTGTGTGTGGGGGGGGTGTAGGTAGAGTGCCAGAAGTGTGAAGCTGTGTGGCTACTGGCTAGGTAGCAGGCAGGAGTCTGGCTCCTTGCTGCCTGGCCTGACTGGGCACGATTTAGGCTCACAGGCACCATCTACATGTGCATTTCATCACAGTTAATGACTCCACTGTAAGATAGACTGATGCTGCTGTGGCTAGCTGATCCCTAATCTCTCAAATGCAGTGTCCACCAAAGCTCTAATGAAATAATATGCATTACCTTGGTAATTCTAACAGTTATGGTAAGTACCTTGGCTTAGATCAGCTCAGTACTTCTCATTATCCTCTGAGTTAATGTCTTCAATAGTTAGCTACCTGCGATTGTTTGACGGTATTTCTGACTTCACAGAGTTTCCATTGTAGTAGCACTCCTTGTGCCAATATACTGCAATTAAGGCTCTAGCAGTTTCCATAGAAACAATGTTTTTGACAGTGCTATAAATCAGAAGTAAAAAATTTACCTTGAAACTCGAAGAAGTGCCAATCTGCTTTCATTCCTGCCTTTGCTTTCTTTTCTGTTTTCTCTAAGGAAGGTTCTATGCTGCTGTGGAGTTCTTCCAAGACTCTCTTCTCCTTTACAAAGCATCACACTCAAGACCTATGCTCCATGACTTCATGGTTTATTGGTCTTAAAATGTGCATTGATGGAGCTAGGACTGGCCTTCCTAAGTATGTAAAAACTTCCTAGCACACAATGGATGCTACTGCAAATACTGTAATCATTACCATCACCATCAAGAGACCAGCTCCTTGTAAAGGAGACCTCCCAGGTGACCATGCATATCAAAATACTTTCTTACTTTCCTTTAGCAAACAGTGTGATGGATAGTGTGTAGGTGGTGTGATTTAAATGATATGAGCTAGATGAACTCTGGGGGGGGTTTATCTGTGCCTCAAATACACAAAGTTTAGTGGGTCTCACCAAAGTCACTGGAGCTATTCACATGCATGAAATTTAGTGTGTACACACATGCTTATATCAGTATGTTTTGTTCTTCAGTGATTCGCTTGCCTGAAAACAAATTTCTGTATGCTTGGCAATTAAATGTTCTGTCAAAGAGACGGTCAGGCTAGCTAAGACCGATTATAGGATCTGCCTGCTGTTCCCACTGAGTACTGGTTTGCTTACAGTGGGAGATACTATACCAATGTAGCTATACTGCTAAATCTGCAGCAGAGCAGAGATGTCATATGGGGTAAGAAATGTACGAATGAAGGTAATTTTTTATTTCAAACCTAGCTAAGCTGCATCAATGCAGTGCTCTCTTTATTGCATTGTACTACTGGATACTGAATCAAACAATAGTGTTTGAGGATAGATACACTCTTTGCCACTGTGCCAGAATTGAAAACAAACTGAAAGTTCCTTGAAATCAGAGTGGAAATGGGAAAAAAACTCCAGAGAACACGGAGAGATTTTCATGAGTGACACTAATCTAGCACACTGTGAGAAGAACTGATGCCAGACTACCACACTCTGGGGGGCGTGCTGAAGGAGACAGGTGCACAGGTGGTATTTTCTTCTGTCCTACCAGTGAGCGGACATGGAAGATGGCATGAGACATGCATCGCAGAGACCAGCTGGTGGCTTTGGGAATGGTGTCTTGAGGCGGGCTTTGGCTTCCTTGACAACGACCCGCACATCACAATGAGAGACATGCTCGGATGGGATGGGCTCCACTTTTCCCCTAAAGGTAAGCATGTTCTCTTCTAGGTTGGCGGATCTCCTCCGGCGGGCTTTAAACTAGGCTCATCGGGGGAAGGGGAAGATGAGGGAGGAGGAAGC